CTTGCTCCTGGGGTGTGTGGCCCTCCTCCCCGAGGCACTCCTCCTCCTCGTCTTCCCCAAGGTCGGGGGTGCGGGACAGGTCCACGACCGGCGAGAAAGGCATCTGCCACGCATTTCCCACGTCCTCCTCGTCGTGAACAAGGCTTGATGGGGGGTCCCTCTCGGGGGGGTAATGGACTAGCTGGCTGTAACCCTGTGAAAACGAAACGAGAAGGGTGGAATGAGACCCGAGGTGCAGTGACTGAAGTGGCGTCATCATACGTCAGGCAGGAACGCATCTTACAATGTAAGATCAAGGGGGGCGTAGGGTACAATTCAAAAGCAAGAAAGGAAAGGGATAGGGGGACGAAAATGGTGAAATTAATAACTGATGCCATTAATCGAGTACAAGGACGCTATGACCTGGCCCCTACCTCATTTCCCCCCAAAGGTTCGCCCCCGGCGGGCATTTCACCCCCACAGTTTTTTTTCCTCGTAATGTACAGACTCTCCTCTGTCGTGTGTGAATGTGCGTGAAATCGATGGATGGCATCAACACGAAATGACCCGCACAGCTGAAGTTGCAGCGGGCCCACAGGAGGCATAAAAAATAGCCAAAACCATCAATTCTATTCCCTCGTACCGAAGACCATGCAAACGAAGTCAAACGTCTGGCATCAAGGAGATCGGACAGCACCTGCCACCGATTTACTTGATGGTGTGCAACAAATTCGATGCCTTATGTAGGTCCTTCCTTCATAGCAGCGGGGAAGCGGCTTGTTATTTCTTCTCGCTACGTTTTCTCCCAGCTTGTCTTACGATGCCAAATTAGTGAATCAATCCTTCCATCAAATATATAGTACAGAATTTCTTGAGGAAGCGTAGTAATCAATGCGCGCTGAATGCCTGTATGCTTAGAATCGGACTTGAGGGCTTCTTTTTTGGGCCTCACGTCACGCCGGGAGGAAGCTTCCACCTCCCCTCGTATCAATTGCATTGCATAACATCCTTCGGGAAGTCATGCACGGCTGGAATGAGTGTTGGCATGAACATTTTTACCCGATCTGTCACAGTCGTGTCACTAGCAATATATTAGCTTTTGCTTCAGTATATCCTTGGTATTGAATCCCGAGGGACCTTGCTTTCCACGCCGGACAGGCCCTCCCACCTCCCCTACCTGGCTAAAACCACAGTCATAGTTATATAGACAGCACGAAAAAGTGTTGTAGCTGTCAAGCACAAATATGATATCGCGCCTACGGCTACGCATGCAATTGATGACTCACCTTCTTAGCAGACTGGTTGGATGATGTCGATTTTTCAGTCGAGGGGGCTTTGGGAAGCGTTATTTGAGTGCCAGCGTATTTACACGAAATTGTGAAGCACAACAAATCGCGAGGACACGCAAGCTTGAGGAGGTCTTTAATCAGGCGAAGAGAAGAAAAGGGGGAAAAAGTTGGGATAAAACTTTTCACCCTGGCGCTTCACTCATCGACTTAACATCCTCCGCATTTGATCACTCCCACGCAGGACGTCGGTGCGCCCCCCCAAACCCATGAATCTAGTGGCTTACACACTCAAGCCTCCAACGGGCGTGAGTCGGGCGCTGGTGGGCTGCTTCTTGGAAGGGGAGGAAGGGGAAGAGGAAGAGGAACTCTTGGCCTTGGTCCGTGGAGTTGGTACCGTGGAAATCGTCCAGGTATTGACCCCTCCCCCTCCCTCCCCTGGCACCAACGGGAAGGAAGGAGCGCAAGAGGCGAAGGAATGGGAAGGAAACGGGGCAATTCTCCACACCCTCTGCTCCCAGCCCACCTTCTCCGCCATCCGGGCATGGGCATGCCTGCGGCCTGTAGGCGGCACCAAGGACCTGTTGGCCGTGACCTCGGACGCAGGCATGCTCGCTTTGGTGGAACTGGTCGCCCGCCCTGCGAACACAGCCTCCCATGCAGTCGCTTACCACCTGCAACGCATCGCCTCCTTGTCACTGGGTACATCCGGGTGTCCTCGGAGCGTGCCCGGGCAATACGTCGCCGCCGACCCGAGTGGGCGGGCCGTAATGGTCAGCTCCATTGACGGGCATCTTACGTGCGCCGTGGTGCTGCGAAACGCGGCCACGGGGGCAATTGAGCTTCGACGGAGCCGTGTGGGCGGGGATCTGGGGAAAGTGAGTGGGCAAGCCACGGTCTTCGACGCGGGGGGCGCGCACGTCGGGGCGGGGCCTCCCCGCTTCCTCCTCTTGGTCGGGGGGGACGAGGCGGACGGAGCGCGGGCCCGAGAACGCGCCCGGGCCAAGGAGGAGGATGGATTGAGCTTGCCCGAGGAGAGTGTGAAGCACGTGCTCGTCCTGGAGTTGGACCTGGAGACCAACACGTTGGCCCCGGCGGGGCGACTCCCT